AGCGATGGCCTCCAACCTACTAGCGATGGCCTCCAACCTACTAGCGACGGCCTCCAACCTTGTGAAAGGCGTGACGTGACCGCCTGTGGCCACGTTTTTGTTGCGTGTTCGCATCAAAGAAACTAGCATTGGGACGATGGGCAATGGCGACACAGGGCGACACCTTGGGAACAATAAGTAAGCATGTTGTCATGGCGTGGCAGCATTGCAGGAGCAAGTCTTGCTTTTCGGAGTGTTCAAAGGAAAAGCGGGGTTTGCAGCGTGCACATCTATCTTCTGCAAACAACACTACAAGGAACAGCAAGCACAAACAAGTAACACAAAGGCACCACTCTGGGAGAGGGGCAGTTCAAAGGGATCTCTGAGAAGCTGTATTTCTCGAACCAAGTGTTCAATCTACCCTCCCTTCTACCAGTGATGTGCATTCCCAAACTCACCCGTACCAGACATCCCTTCGGACCAACAGCGCTTGTCTTGCTGCCATAGGTGCCCACGTTGTCTGGCATCTCCACATCTGCACCATGCTCCACCAGGCACCGCACCATAGAGGCATCGTGATGTCCTGCACTTGAGGCACGGTGATGCCCTCACCGTTCAGCTCATCTCCAGTCGGACTGGAAGAGAAGAGTGAGAGACGAGATAAAAACACGATTGGATAAACAAGTCTAAGTCTTGGACCAGAACTGTTTCGTTCCCATTTCTAGGTAGCACCTCTCTTTCATGCGATTGGTGAGGGCTTTTCGTTGCGTTCCACAGCTGAGCCTCGGGCGAATCGGGCATTTTGGGTTGCATAGCATCAGCTTTCAGTGATTTGTCATCTGGGTGTGAATTGAAATCAGGACCCGAAAGCCCGGGTCCTGAAGCAAAGAAAGACCGATTGAGAACCATTTGGTTGGGGGGTCTACATCTTCAAGATACAAACCTCAAACCCACATTCCGCAGGCTTGGTAAGCAACACTCTTGCAGACCCGATGGCGCCTGAAGCCATATGCAAAGGCGTTTTACCGTCCTTGGCGAGCGAGGAACAGTCACCCTGACGCCTGACGTGAATGTCCTTTCTGAAGTCAACCCAAAACTGCACCAAAAAAGAGAGAGATAGAAAAATCATAACACGTTATACAGTCAAGACTTAAGTGAATACCATGTTTGCCCTATCCTCTGCTGCACAATTATTTTAATGTAGACATCTAGGAGCCAAAGGACTGTAAGTCTTGGAACCAAAGGACTAACACACGGTTGGCCCGTCTCTACTTGAACAACTACCAGTTCAATCATCCGCCAAAGGCGGATTGACTTCACCATGATCCATCTGTTTTCCCCCTACTGATTCTTGTCCGCTACTCGCCTGGAGTGTGCACAAAATCATAGAAGTCGTATGCTTCCCTAAATGTCCCCAAGCAGTCAAATCAAGGTTGTTCGGCCATGCTGCTAAGGGCTTTCTGCACAGCTCAAACAAAAATGGGGCGCTGCAATCAAACTGGTATTGTTCCATTCTTTGCGGGCTACCGAAGTCGAATTCTTCCAGATACAAGAATACCTTGTGTCTGTGTGTCTGCCCCTGAAATTCCTCTCATATCTGAGTCATCCGCATTGTGTTGGGCTTTGTTTGGACTTGACTACGCTAACCGATGACGTCTCAAGGAGGTGGGGAAACCGCCCAACCAGCTTGGGAGCATTGAAACAAGGCACCACGTCGCTTAGTGTTTCAATGAAACACAACCAGTTTGCGACGAGCTCTGAACAACCTTGACATAAACATATATACACACTACACGACCATTTTTGTATCAGGATCTCTTTTTCATCTCCTAGTCTCCACACCACCGAATGCATTTTTCATCGCAATACGAGGTCTAAACCGGTAGGTGAACTGCGCCAAACCCGACGCGCCGATGCAAAGCTGAGAATATCAGTTTTTGGTGCCCAGCTGACCAAGAATTCGCCAATTTCATGGTGTTCAAAGAACTTCAACGGATTATGCACCATGCTAGTCATAGACCTATAAATTCAACATGAGTTCTCAAGCTTGGAACTCATGCGCAAATGCCGTGCGATCAGCACGCAAAGTTCACTATTCTCTGGTGGTAGATTGGCAATGGGCATGCTCAACATAATGGTATTGTGGTGCTGGCTCGTGAACTTGAATGTCTTGTTGGCAAATGCAACTGATCAAAGAAATCTGCAACGCCCGGTTTGCCAGGAAATGTCAGGTCAGGTATTATCAGGACTAGGTTTATTTCAGGTTTTGGCAATGAGTTATCTACTACAGTAAGCAAAGCAAGTTCGATGGCTCCTCAAACCCAGCCAGCTATCAGTACAAAGAATACCTTTCAGAAACAAAGAGCTTGTACAGTGCCGGACAATATAATATGTACATATATGTACGGTGTATCGCGATGATGTGACGTTTTCAAGTTTGGTAATCAGTGATCACAACGGCTATATCTCGGATTACAAGGTTTGGGTTTCGTTTACGAGTTTTCTTGGTCGTGATTGCCTATCGGTTTTTGGGTGGTCCAATATCACTCCCTTCCCCAGGTAAAAGAAAGAAAACCATTTGCCGGTTGCATAGCAGCGAGTGCAAACGAAAGGAGCGCTGTGGGGTGACGAATATGTCACCGGACCCCGTCGTCCGAAAACAACAGCGCAGTGGTCCGGTTGGATCTATGGCTCACCACACGAACAGCAACTTAAGGTACCTCTTTACAAGAGCCTCAGAAGAAACACCGTCGGGAACCCAAACAACAAGAACATTGTGTGGGACATAAGGATTTATAGCCCTACTATGGCCTACTATCATCACTCGTAAGTCAGATCCTTGGTGACTCCCAAAGGGGAGGCTTCATTTTAAATATGCACTCGTGTCTTCTAACAACACATTTGCAAACCGAAACCACACACCACACGATCAACACCCTTCGACAAATCATGTGCACACCACACGAAAAGTCGAAGTTGTCGAACATTTGGCGCACTGAGTCGAAGTTGTCTGTTTCAACCGAGTGTCTCGGCTCATCTGATCTCGGTTGCAGCCAGCCTTCAGCAGCGCCAGCGCGCACTGCGGCTGCCCCACAGCTGCGGCAAACCAAAGAGGGGAGCGGCCTTCTTGGTCTGCCTGGGGGTTATTGATGGTTTTATTTGGCTTCCTTTTTCTTCGGTCGTTAGTGCATGGCTGTGAATCACTTTGAAGGCCCCTGCACGTCGAATAACATTAAGCATTAAAGTCCAAAAGCCTTTGATTCATCAAGGACAGCCAATGAGGACCAAATGTACCATGGTCTCGCACATGGTCGCACCCATTGTAACCATAGCCTATATATATATAAATACTAACTCATTGATCCATTGATGTTGATCAATCGATCTTGAACCCGCCTTGTTGAGGTTAGCACGGGAGCGGATGAGAAAGCGCAAGATTCCTGAAAAAGTCAGGAACATGAAGGGTCTCAAAAGTGGCCAACTAGTGGGATGAAAGGAATTGCCAACTTGGCTACAAAGCAAAGTGGTCCACATTTCTCCATGTAAACCAAACATCGTCCTCTTGCAGAAAAAAACATGTGGGCTGTAGGGAGAGTCGCTCTAGGCTGCGCTGAATTGTGTTGTTGGCCTAATAGAGTTCAACAGAGTTGAGGTGTGTTGTTCCTCTTGGCCCTGAAGCTGCTCTCATTTCGGACCGTTTGCTGCGCAATCTCCTCTGCAATTCCCTTCCTATGCTTTTTCTGCGACGAACACACGGGGTATGCCACGCCGTGCCTTGTCACTATATGATTCTATAAAGGGCTATTTTGTGCCAAAATAAGGTTGTATTCCAAGCGACTTCAACAACCGTGTTCTATGATGGTTCCGCTCCGTTCAGGGTCCACCGAATTGTCCGTGAAGCGGCTGAGCGATCCGTTCTCGGCGGCCAAGGACAGCGGGGTGATGCCATCATCCTCATTGAAGTCTTCTTCAATCGCTTCCGCGCCCAAGTTCAGGTCTGCTCGCTGCGCCACCAGGAGTTGGACCACCTCACGGGAGATTTGCGAGCGGAAAGAAAACGAAAGGGAGAGGATCCGAGGGAGAGGATCCGGTGGTACTTCTTTGGTTTGGTTGAGTCACAGAAGGCGCTTTAGTAATTCCAAGCAAACGAACTCTGAAGTCTTTTATCTTTCTTAAGGTGAGGTTCTCCATCACCTTTGAGGTTTTCCTCCCCACCAAGCCCTGTCTGATCAAAAGAGACTTCAAAGGAATCAATTCATCATTTTGGATGGCAAACGACCCGCCAATGTTTGCTGACTTTGATGGCGTGAATTGGGTGATACAAAAGAAGCTGAAGTCTGAAGACCTCTCCCAAACATGGATCCAAGTCAAAACCCAGGACCTACCTCTGGTGAACAAACCAAACATGCGCAATGCAGTCAACGTGATGGCCCCATCACATTGACATAAAGCTGTCTCCTTTCTTCGGCTTCGCGCCCTTGTACTGAAAAACGCGTGAGCAAAAACGTTGCCTTCCGTCGGTCCTGGCCTTGAGGCAACGCCCCACCACACCCACCCAAAGGGAAGTGCCATTAGGTTCCTTTTGCTGTTACATTGAAGGCCATCACTGCATCACTATCAAAAGGTTGGAAGCTATCGCTATTAGGTTAGAGGCCATTGGGCCATCGCTCTTAGGTTGGAGGCCATCGCTCTTAGGTTGGAGGCCATCGCTAGTAGGTTGGAGGCCATCGCTCTTAGCTTGGAAGCCATCGCTCTTAGCTTGGAGGCCATCGCTCTTAGCTTGGAGGCCATCGCTCTTAGGTTGGAGGCCATCGCTCTTAGCTTGGAGGCCATTGCTCTTAGGTTTGAGGCCATGGGCCGTCGCTCTTAGCTTGGAGGCCATCACTCTTAGCTTGGAGGCCATCGCTCTTAGGTTGGAGGCCATTGCTAATAGGTTCCTTTTGCTGTTAGGTTGGATGCCATCGCTAGTAGGTTGCAGGGTGTAGTATTTGTTCCACATCTCTTCCACATGTCTTCCGTCAGTCCTGGCCTTGAGGCAACGCCCTGCCACACCCACCCAGAGAGCAGTGCGTCCAAAGGAGTCGGCCTGATTGACATTGGCCGCCGCGCTGAGCAAGCGCTCTACGATCCTTGGACTGAAGATGTGCTGAGCAGAGCTGGACCTGGACATGTGTTTGTTTTTGATGGATGTCGTCTTGAGGATATCGAACTCCGGCTAAGCCCCTTAGTCCTTTGTCGCTTTGGTGGATTCTGCAAATATTGCAGGAAGCCCTTGGTTGCAGGGCAAGTCTTGAGTTCATCTAGTCTTCGACTTGATGCACTTGACAAGCTTTTGACTAGCACTTCAACTGCAGCCAATGAGCAACATCATTTTTCGATCACTTCAACACAAGTAGCCCCAAATAGATGTTGTGCCTGTCCTGGACAGCAAAGCCGTCTGTGTCTTTCGTACCTCCAACCGGAACACTTGTTTGGGATGATCCTATATACCTCCAACCGGTCCAACCGGAGATGCTCGTGATCCTCGTGATCCTCGTGCCCCTTGAGACTTGGATCATCACTCGTCCAAAGCCGGAGGCCGCTTGCAAAGCCGTACGCCGTTCAACTCGGTCGCCTCGGGTGCCAACGGTTCCGTCCGGGTGTGGACTGGAACTGAAGTCCGCAAATGATATTTAGCATTTTTTCGATTGGTTTTTGGGTATGACTATCTCAATATCGTGGATTCTTCTAATTTTAACAAAAGAGGTCAACATGCGGAGAACTATGGGCCGAATCCAATATACAGTATCCTGAACTTAGGGTTTGAGCACTTTTTTGACTTTTGTATCGTTTCGTGAGGATGCGTGCTATTTTTGGTTCAAAGTTTTGAAGGGTTTTGAGCGTTTCTCAAGATGCAAAAGGCTGAAGTTTTCTTGGGCCAAAGAAGGAAACAGTGGAAACCTACAAAATGCACAAATGTCTGCCAAATGCGCGCAAATTATGCCCCAAAGTGGGTTGGATACCAGAGGCATCCACGTGCGTTTTTTGAGTGTTTGTAGCGCCTTTTGCTCGAATGAGCACAGCTTAAAATCTGTAGCAAAGGAAACTTCAGGATATTTAAGGATGATTCCTCCCTCCAACACGCGCTGGCAACGAAACGATTGGCTGTCTAATCATTCCAAACTACCAAACAACCGGAGGATGGCAGGACGGACTGCTGAATTCCACCGGCCAAACGCAACAGCAAGGAGAAATGCTGAAAGATCGGCATGTCCAAGCCTGCTAAGCCCCCAAATGCGGTCTCACATGGTCTCACCTGAAAATGGCCTCATTGACTCATGGAGCTAAATGAACATCTGCCATCTGCCCCGAAACAACCATCAAGCCTTCAAGCCAAAGTCATCAGTCAAAGCGAGACCTTCGACAAATCCCATTGGCAGAATACATATGACATATATCATGCCAGGTCCAGCACGCAGCTTGACCAGTCGTTAAGAAAGCCAAACCGCCACTGCCCGGCGACCAGCCGTGCAGTCGTTGTTGCCGTGCGGCAACGGTTCACGTCGGCGTTGGCGCTCAAGAGACACTCGACGATCTGTAGAAAGCCACCAGTGGACGCGATCAGCAAAGGCAGCCGGGCTTCGTACTCATCCACTATATCTTCCTAGGCCAAAACAAGTGGCACTACGTACAGTGGTGGATTGGGTCATGGCGATGGGCGTTCAATTCGTTGCTAGAACCCGCCAACATGTTTGTCATCTGTCTTTGACAGGGATCGGAATCAAACACAAAGTCAGGTTTACGCATGTTTGCAGTCTACGCTATGATCTTTGGACAGAATAGGAATAGGACAGAATTGACAGCGGAATTGTTTCTTGAAGTCTCAGTGGATTGACTGACCCGGCACCCTGAAACCATGACTGTGCAGGAAGTATGTCACCTGAACACTCACAGAATCTCGGGCACAGGGAAGGCCATTATTGTGGGGTCTTGACTGCTAGCGTGTCTGGTATATTGAAGAGAAGAGACACATTCACAAAGCTATGGCCTATGGTTGGCAGAAGGGAGGGCTTTGGCCTTTCTTAGCCTTGGAATGCGTAGGTCCTTTGTGGAAATTACACCACCATAGACCCCAAACAGTTTGTGTTTTTCAAAATCGAAACTAGAGCTTGCGACGTCCAGAGCTGGGAGACAAATGTAAAGGATTGCAAGGCAGAGACGGACACAGCAGTACAGAGCGGGCGGACACGGCTTAAGAAAGAATTGAGAAACCCTAGCAGTAAACCTTTTGGGGAATTATTCTTCAAGCGCGAACATGATGCCGGTCATGCTGCTTAGTCAGCGGGGAGCTGACCACGTGAGGACAAGAAACAAAGCATGAGGAGCGAAGGATGTGACATGAAATTGATTTTTGGTGCCTGACGTATGCCCTCCGCCCCAACTGAACAGAGAGATCGCTGCCACGCCGAAATCTAACCCGGTCATTCATCCAACGGTTGCCCGAAAAGGAAAGCAAAGCTGAGAGAGTTACACAGTGTGGCAGGAATGCAATCCCGGAGACAGTCACGCACCCCTTGCAAAGGAGCAAGAACCTTTCACAGGCGAACCTGTTCCAGCGGACAGGGCAGAAAACAGCAGTGCAGGCACCAAACCTGAAAGACAAAAAGAAAGAAATCACATGGGAGACAAATGAATAGAAATGCTACATGGCCAGCGGAAAAGGGCGGCAGCACCAGTGACAGACCCGGGAACAAATGAATAGAAATGCTGCATGCCCAGCGGAAAAGGGCAGACACCAGCAGTGACAGACCTGGAAAACAAATGAATAGAAACGTTGCATCGCCAGCGGAAAAGGGCGGACACCAACAGTGACAGACCTGGGAGACTAATGAATAGAAATGCTGCATGGCCGACGAAAAGGGCGGGCGCCAGCAGTGACAGACCTGGAAGACAAATGAATAGAAATGCTACATGGCACCAGCAGTGACGGACCTCGGAGACAAGAACCGGCCCACAAGCACCCAGCCTGAGAAGCAAATGAAAAGAAGTGGGAGACACATTCAAGGAAAGCCGGCCGGGAACCCGACCACTTGCACCGAGACTGGGAGACAACTGAAAGGAAGTGGGAGACAAGCCGGACGGGAAGCTTGTGGTCGGGTTCCCTGTGGTTGGGTTCCCGGCCGGCTTGTCTCCCACTTCCTTTCATTTGTCTCCACTTCTTTTCTGCCTGTGGTCGGGTTGACCCAGCCTGAGAGACAAATGAAAATTGTGCCCAGCCTGAGAGACAAATGAAAAGAAGTGGGAGACAAATGAAAGGAAGTGGGAGACAAGCCGGCCGGGAACCCGACCACAAGCACCCAGCCTGGGAGACAATGAAAACAAGTGGGAGACAAATGAAAAGAAGTGGGAGACAAATGAAAGGAAGTGGCCTGGGAGACAAGTGAAAAGAACTTGGAGACAAATGAAAGGAAGTGGGAGACAAGCCAGCCGGGAACCCGACCACAAGCACCCAGCCTGGGAGACAAGTGAAAGGAACTGGGAGACAAGTGAAAAGAAGTGGGAGAAAAATGAAAGGAAGTGGGAGAGAAGCCAGCGGGAACCCGACCACAAGCACCCAGCGTGGGAGACAAATGAAAAGAACTGGGAGACAAATGAAAGGAAGTGGGGAACCCGACCACAAGCAGCCAGCCTGGGAGACAAATGAAAAGAACTGGGAGACAAATGAAAGGAAGTGGGAGACAAGACGGCCGGGAACCCGACCAGACCATCCAGCACCAAGGCGACCATTCTTTAAAGCATTGAGAACCCCTAACAGTAAACTTTTTGGGGAAAAAGGAACATCTTTCTCTGCTTGCAAGGCTCTTCATTAGGGTCTTGCAAATCTTCCAGTACCTTCTGGACTGAGTGTAAATCGCCTCACAAAAGAATTGAGGCTTCACACCTTAACATACTGTACTCGTCGGATCTCGTCATGGTCTGGTAGTCCTGTATCATATGTCACGTCGTGTCTAATCAGCGTTTCCTTCCATGACAAGCTGGCGTCCTTGGATCTATGGCAGGGTGTAGCAGGATGTAGCAGGTCAAGCAAACGGACCCCACCTCTCTCTGTTGCGTCCACCAAAGCGCGCGCATTGCCGCCCCGAACGGATAGGATAACCAGCTGCAACTCCTTGCAATACGCAAGCACAAGCAACGAAGCGGGGTGGGGATTGTCAGTTGCTCCTTTCAGGTCCAAACATAGACGCAGCAACCTACAGCACAGCAAAATGGTATTGATAGTGACCAAACCTTTTGGAAAGTTTAACTACCAGCATGATAGTTCTTTGGATGCATTCGATGGACAACCCCAGAATAGATTCACCCATCCAAGAGTTCAGCATTGGAGCCAGCGCAGTGGCTCAAGGTGGGCCGATGATCTGAAGGGTCGGGTAGGTCTTCCGTGTCTCCTGTGGCACAGTCAAATCCCAGGTCGCACGGGAGACCTTGGACGTCGCACGGCAGTTGGAGAGGAAAGCAGTGGCCATGTTTCTGTGAAAAAGGGTTTGATAAAGGCTTTATACCATTCTTAAGATAGCTCTTAGGTCTGTTCGGCCGTCGCTCTTAGGTTGGAGAGCTGAGCTGGTCTCCTTCTCTTTTTCAAGCACCACCTACATCAACCGACCGGTTCTGTATGCTTCTGTGGCATTGGGAGAACCAAATAGGATTCTGAGCTGGAAAGGCATGGACATGGCTTGTGAGTGGAATCGTGCGTGGTCTTGTTGCCTTGGCCTGCGTGCCCTCTCCATCTGATACTGTATGGTGTCCTCTTTTCACTGTTGACGTGTGGTACCTCGACAGCATTCTGCAGTTGCATTCGTTTGAACACGTACATTCCATCAACTGTCCATACCAAGAAGTTTCATGCCTCCAACGAAGACAGATCTTGATGAGCTATGTCAGATCTTGGATTGGATGTGGTGAGCAAACCAGAAAGGTTGCCACACTGATTGCCACACCACTTGACTATCCAGAAACATTTCGCTGTATGTACATTAGTTCATAGGGTCAATTGCTGCAAACGTGTCAATTGCTCAATCCTTCACCCTCGCTGCGTTTCTCCGGCTGGCTTCTCCAACCGCTTTTCCGGTTCTCCAATGCCCACGCCCCGTTGGGCCAAGGGGCTTCCCTGCCCTGGTAGAGTAAGCGCTGCCGAAAGCGCGGGGTTCGTGTCCTTGGCAGAACCCGTCGAGGGCCGGAGGCCTGATGATCTCATGAGTGCCTTGTAATAGAGATTTGGAGGCCTGATCATGCAAACGGGACAGGTTGGCACCTATTATATACATATATATATACTGTCGCAACTTCCTTTTCTAGATCCAGCTATCTCTTGACTGCAAATCAAAGACTTTGGAGAGCCACAACCACCGGTTTTAGCCAATGTCCTTTCACTGGAGGTCTTTGAAGAGATCTCTCTCGTCCATCCATGCAATGATTGGCAGTGAGAGGTCGCATGCCAGTCAACATAGCATACATGGCACCACCATGCACAACAAACGCTGGAACAGGTCATAGCAACAGGTCATTCTACATCCAAATTGTGTTTCCACTAAGGAAAATGAAGCTTCTTTGATGATGTGTTAGTGCCTTCAGGAGGTGCATGTTTTTGGCGCATATTGGTCTGACCCTCAGATATTGGGGACCTGAGATATTTTTGTTGGGGGAGAAACAGTCGGTTGAAACGACGAGCCTCTGAATCTCTAGACATCGCTTGAGCTCAGCGCCGAAGCGTTCGCCACTGACGGCGGCCAAGCTCTGCACCGTCGCAGGGTCGAAGTTGGCCACCTGGTAGGGTCGATGGTCCTTTTTTTTGTGTCCCATGGTCTCCATGGATGGTGACAAAAGACGGTGATTCTATAGGAAGCTGATCTTATATGCTGATGCTATATGAAGTTACGTAAAAGCTAAAGTAACAGAACATGAAGGTGGCAGTCATGAGACTTCAGAATCCAAAAGAAGCCCCAAGACGGGCTCTGAAGGGTCTTCTGTTGAGTGGCCTTCTTTCGGGAGAGGTCATGCGTCGCAATGCGTGGGTTTCATCCTCATGTTCAGGTACCACAACTTTATATCATGTAAGCCAAATTCTCAGTAGCTTCAAATGAATGCTGAGTCAATGAACACATCCTGTGACGATTGAAGAACGCTGGCCTTCGAAATGGTGACCTCCTTTTTTGACAAATTTATTATCTCTCCAGTCCAAAGATCGTAATAAATTCAGTCAAGTTCCTGCCAGAAAAAGAAGGAACATGTTCGCTCCATTCTACGACCGAATATCTGGCGGGGTTTGGGCGGCCCTGTGCACGCGCACCTCGTTTCCGGACACCGCTAAGATCCGCAACATCGCGCGTCTATGTCTGGTCACCACTTTGGGTAACACCCGAAGCACAAAGGAAAGATAAGAAAGACGTTCCTATGATATTTCTGGATTGGAATATCTTGGGATCATCTAAGAATTTACATCCGACGGCAGGAAAATGGATGGCCTTTCTGATGGAAATGCGATTTGTTTTCATTCTGTGAGCATGTTACATCATACATTGTCATACATGCATTATCATTGTAGCAAACACTCTGATGTGTAACGCAAATGTTGATGCCAAGGAGTTAATCATGAAGCCGGTCATACCTATTCTCGGGCATCTTCAACTGTTGCCACATAATCAGCACAGAAAGTCAAGATCATGGAAGACAAGCTTTCTGTCGGGGTCACTTTTCATTGTCGGCAGCACAAAGGGCAGGGTGAACCCCCTCGTCATATCCTATATCCTTGCAGTGTCCAGACGAAACACAGAAAACAGCAAAGAAAAAAACAACAACCCGGCCCAGCATCTTCCAGCAATGATTGAATCTGTTGGTTGACGCCAGCCTATCAATAAATCCAGTATCTGCTATAGGTTAGTCCAAACGGGGCCAACAGGAACAAACTAAGTCCAATTCAAGAAATCTGTGGATAGCAACTGGATATAAGAACTCTGTCGTGCAGTAGGTTGCAAGTGCGCAATAAACCAAATGAAGAAGCTAGCAGTTCTCATATTCATGGATAGTATAGTATAGGGTCTTGCCCCAACACGAAGTATATATCTACTCTGTCTGGATCCTTCCGGCGCCACCAAAGGACAGGCAAGAACCCGCACCGGAAGCTGTCGCGAACAGCGCTTTTGGTGGATTCTGCTGTGGTCGTCCGGCCCTTGCGCCAACGCCCCGGAGGCGAGACCTGTCGGGCAAACGGCCAGGACGGGCAAAAACGCCTGGAGACTCTTCATGTCAAAGAATCAACATGAGAGCTTCCTCTATGAAGTGTGATTTAGAATGACTTCTTAACCTCTCTCTCTGTATATAACTATCAGGATGTGCCCTATACAGTTGGACCCCTGGCCAGTTGTGGCTGTGGGGCTCTGCCTCCCACACCGGCTCCGCGTCTTCCGTCCAGGTCGCTGCCACACGCAGGTCAGTGCCCTGACAGCGAGGTCGATTCAGGTTCGAAAAAAAAGGTGAGAGATGATAGTTGAAAGTGATAGTGGGATGAGACCAGTTTGGTTGGCTCATGTCTGCTCTGAATTAGTATATACATGGTGGGATATATATATATATATCCAGAATGATGAAATGCACATCAACAACATGATGTTAGTGTTAGAGTCTGTTAGAGTTGATTTGGGCAATGTTTCATCTGTAGGATTCCTTGATGCCGAGAGCCTTCTGGGTTGAGCCGGGTTTGTCAATGGGGCAATTAATCACCTCCCGCCAGCCATGGAAAAGCATGTGTTTGTGGGTTTCTGGCAACAGACTTCAGTGTCCGCAAAACTAACTACTCGTCATACAACTCTTTGGCATGGCTCAAAAGAAAGGAATACGCAAAGAAACAAAGCAGGTCTCTTAAGTACACGAAAAAAGGCTTCAAGCACCAAACACCTGTGACACTGGGTTCAACAGGATGTCTGCATCAAGTAGTTCACCTCCTGCATGGATCTCGAGGTCTTATTCCAAAGTTTTATCAGTCGAAGAGTGCTAAGACTTCCAACAGGGCTAACCTATAGCAAATCTTATGTGCAAAGGTGCAGCTTCAGTCTTACAATTTTCGGGAGGTCAAAGGCTACAATATGACGGTTGAAGGTTCTGGAAGCTTCCCCGAATCCAAAACAATGCTCAACATTGGTTCACACTCAGCATCATCTCCATATTGATCCACATTCATACTGCATAGCTCGTTGTGAAAAGTCCGACTGTCCGGCATCATCCGAAGATCTCCGACCTTCTTTACCTCCAAATCGGCATGAAACTGCAATGTGAGCTGAATCCGCTCCGACTTCATCTCCTGGATTGGCCAAGTCTACAAGCTGCTATGGGCCATTGGTGTGAGGTGAATCAAAAGCAAGCGGTCCAATCATGTCCAATCCGCGGCCTTGAATTACTAGTGCTATCCCGGTTCACCTTCGCCTTCGTCTAACCACACGCGAAAGCTTCTTTTCAAGAGGGGTCTCTGTATGTCTCTGTGAGCTCATTCTTCAAATGAAGGGGGTGTCCAAAGACCATGACAGTGTGATGTGAATGAGGGAAGAAGGCTTTTAGCCGCTCGAAGCCGAACACAGCAATACGCCCTCTGTCTACTACATTTGGTGGGTTCGAGGTTGGGCCGCAAGGAAGGAAGGAAGGAAGGGGCCACATCATCTGCATGAAATCCCTCTGGTGAGGCCTAGTTTTAGGGCTCCCCTTTCGTGTTTCCTAATCTGATCAAAATGATTCGATTCGAACTGACACCGAAAGTCCAAAACGAGTCAGAAAGAAGTCTGAAGAGTCTTCGAATGCCCATCTCATTCCGGTTTTCTTGCAGTCAAAGCTAACCGCTAGCCGCTAGCGGCGTTTTCCTCGCTTTGTGATGTGTTCATGTTTTGGTCTTCGTCTCTCCGGACAAGGGTTAAACAAGTAAAATGGTCCTAGTCTCGAACCTTTCATTCCGTGTGCATGATCAAACCACGTGACACATCAAAACTCACGCAAATGAGATGATATCATGACAAGTCATGACATGGTCATCTCCTCATCTCTGGGCTGTGCATAGAGCCACTTCTCCCTCAAGGGGCCTCCAAGGGCCACCAACATGCCTCGCGGGCCGCGGGCCGTCCGACTCACACCGGCCACCGCGTTCTTCCGCTGTTCCGCTGGCCGCGCGTGGACGGAAGGCGCCTTCTCGGAGGGGCAAATCCACCACGACCACCTCGCGGCGGCCACGGCCAAAGTACCAAGGGATGCCATGGATGTGATACCTGCGTCGTGAGGTTTGGCCAAGAGGTGAACGTTTTTAGGCCGGCAGAGTTGAGTCATGTTGAGTTTTAGGTGCTCAGTGTCAGATGTTCCTTAAAAACCTCTGAACGGAATTTTATCAGAGCCGAATCGCTGCCTAGTCGATAGTCCTTTGAGTTGACGAGAATTTTGTGGACCCTCACTAACAAAGGAACAGACTGTCGAACTGTGGTCCTTACAGGTCAAAAACACACGTTCTTAAACTTGAAAGATATAGTGCTCTGCCAAACCCACAGGCGGTTTTCTCAAACGGAAACGTGGCCAAACCACATCCACGGCATGATCTGAATCTGAACGATATCTAGCTCCAAGCCACGTCCGCGTGGCTCCGAATGCCATGAGCCCAATGACTGTAGGAGAAGACCATCCGCAGTGTGTGGCGTAGGTGTGAGGGCCATCCTTCACATGCATGCCTGAGATGCGCATGGGTTCATGCAAGCAACCAGCGTCAGGCGTCAGGAGATTATTCTATATATCATATATTTCAAGAGTTCATGCAAGCAACCAGCGTCAGGTGATTATTATATATATATATCATATGCTTCAACAAACACATTCTCAGAACTCAGAACCTAACGAATGCCGCGCAACCATTCTCGACCTCGACTCGAAAATGGCATGGTTTGGTACCGGAAAAGAACACCGCTATACACCAACTTCCCTAGGTTTTGTTCGGCCATTCATTGATATTTGGAGGATTCCATAAATGGGGGGTGCCCCAAAAAGGATGGTTTATCATTAAACAACCCATTAAATTGATGATTTGGGGGGTGCCCCCACTTGTGGAAGGAACACCCCATCTTTGATTGAGCGATGACATGCTGAAATTGAACCCAAGACCCTAGACCAATCACCGATCAAATTCATCAGATTCATCGATGACACGAGGACAAACCGTTGTCATTTGCGCCACTTGCGGATTTGTCACCATGGACATCTATAAGTTGTAAAACGAGCAAACCTCGTTGCTGACCTTTTGGCAAACGAAATCGAACAAGAGACCCCCCCGGTAGATGAGAGGAGATGTTCTCCCACCATCGTTTTCAAACCTCCTCTTCCGGCGGACACAGGATCTGAACGGGCCTGGCGGTTCCCACCGGCACATGAGGCCATTGAAGGGCGCTTCCGCTGCCTCAGCAGCCTTCGACAAAAGCTCCTGGATGCGTCGAGTATTTTGGATGCTCGGGTGTGCTGGCTGGCCCTGGCATCACCAGGTGACCTCAGAGTATATATACCTGGAACCGAGACATGACCCCTGTTTGGATAGGAAAAAGACCATATTTTGGCTGATTGGTGGTCCAAAATAGAGGTCATTAATGTTCTAGGTACACATACTTGAAATTGTATTGACATCTTACTTTGGGAAGACACTTGAAGAACAAAGTCTTTGCCAAAACCACTCCAAATCTATGCGAGAAGAAAGCTCTGATATGGGTTTTCCAGCAAGTAACACCTTCCGTGCTACAGTTACAGTAATATACCTGAATATAATAACCACAAACATGAAACCACACATAAAGAGCAAACAACTTTCCCAACCTCTCAACTGGGATGCCTTCATAAAAGGGTGTTGAGAATTTAGATGCAGCTAACAAACACGAGTCAAACAACTTACTGCTGTATTTAAGGCATCGAGATTGAACCGCTCAATCATTCACAGGCATGATCTTCCAGGAACTGCTGATCAGCGTGTTCACGCGTTCCAGAAAGAATCCTCGGTTGACCTGGATCTAGCCTTGCTGACACCTGCCTGAAGCCCCTCCCGGAGTGAACCTTACACCGGCGAAGCGATTCGCCGCCGCGAAGCGGCGAAGCCTCCACCCTGGGCGAGAGCTTCTGCCCACGATGAAGCCTTGGAGCTGCCACCTGGACGCAGAAGACCAGAAACTGATCGCAAACATCTGCAGTAGATTCACATCAAACCAACCAGATTGGATTTTCACATTCACACGATCGGAGCGTATTTTCGGAGTGCCATGTGATACGACGGCGTTGCAAATGGACGTCCGGACCCCCGGCCCTGCGGGGGTCGCGGTAGTCGTAGTCGTTGCAAAGCCAGGCTTCCTTTTGGCGCTCATTGAACTGGGTGAAGCTTCCATCCTCAGATGAACAAAGAGAAACCATCGCCGAGGTGGAGAAATAGCACTGCTGTTTTCCAGCACCTGGCCATTTGGTCAAACCTGTCAAAGCTGTTGAAAGGTGGTGAAACGGGGACAGCGACGGGGGGTTCCTTCTGGATCTCATGCATGGATCCATTGGACAACTGACGATCACAGACGTGGCCATTTGGCACCTTCACAACTTTCAGACTTTCAGCACTCTCAATGAGGACCTGTTCAGTTGCCAATGTCCCCCAATTCAGGGCTCATCAAGATGGAGAAATGACAGCTCACCAACATAGACAGCTGTCCCAGCAAACATGGACCCTCACTTGGACTGAATGGAGGCATCAAGAACAACCGTTAGGTGTCCAGCCCGATCTGCATCTTGTCTTGAAGCAATCTCTTGGCAACTGCAACGGTGAACTTCGTAACACGTCAGCTAGCAGCTATCAAATGGAACCGCTTAAGTAGGGTTCACTTGAGTTTTTCTAGCATTGTGCTCTCCCGGAACACATATGAGTGCTACCCGGCAAACTTGGGGAACGTGCCGTGTAAATGGAAACTTTTGCATCTGAACAAAGTTCAATATCGAGTTTCTTGGAAACTCACACTTTCTCAAAATTTAAGAAATACTCCACAAATGACAAATGGGCAAGACTAAATCAAACAGAGTTTTGCAGCGGAAGCAAACATTTCATAAGACATACGGTACGAGTACTTAGGTCACACACACACGAAAACACACCGAAGCCAAGGTCTTTGTTGGTCACGTGTGTTTTGTGCAACAAGATTGTTTCTTCCCAAACGTTGGTCATTTCAACAGTCCTCGCAGGCAACCCAAGTGCCACTCGCGCATGACAACGATGTACAACCATGCCAGTGATAGAAAGCGCCGGTGATACTTATATGAGCGACGCTGTTTATCTGTTATGTGGGCCTTGCACCTTTAATTTTGGTGAGTGTATTATCGTTTTCCACGTTTTGAGCCTTACCTATGTTAAAGAGCGGCAGACTTTTTGGACATGGAAGCAGACGTGCGACGGTCAAAACTCCTTCTGTGTGATAAGGTCGTGGGTGTCGCTTTCAATGGTGGCATCGCTACACACAGCGCCAGCATTCTTTTTGACTTGTCGCCGTTTGGTGGGGGCAGTAGTCGCAGTAGCAGTAGCAGGAGTAGGAGTAGTGGTAGCAGCAGAAGCAGTAGTAGTAGCAGCAGTAGCAGTAGTAGTTGTCGCAGTGGTGGTAGTAGTCGTCGTCGTAGTCGTAGTAGTCTCGTAGTTTTTAGTAGTAGTCGTAGTGGTGGTGGTGGTGGTGGTGGTATAGTAGTAGTAGTAGTAGTAGTAGTAGTAGTAGTAGTAGTAGTAGTA